TGAAATCACTTTAAAGCAAAATACAAAAATATAAAGCAACAGTTTTGTATTCAAGCACAGTGACTTGAGTGGGGTGGTTTTGCTTGACACGCAAACTTTAATATTTGCCTCGTCTTGTTATGCAACCGCTGATGATGTAGCCTGTCCTTCCTGTATTATGCTGTTTGACATTCCTTATAAAGAGTAATGACTGTTTTTATGCCAAATTTACAGCTACATGCTCCTCACCCATCATTGTGTGTGCTTTGTGATAGAGTGATGCTTTTACAGCGGTGGTGTGTTATATAGCCCAATACTCAGTGCATCTCTTTAGAGACCTGAAAACTGCAGCCTCTTCCTTCTGCTCCTCTTCCCCTCTCCGCTCTGCAGTATGTGTTGCCGCTTTTGTCTACAAAATAGGCCTGTGTGCATGTCTGTGTGTGTGTAGGTGTGTGCGTATAAATGGAGACAGTGTACGCATAGACGTGTAGATAAGTGTAGCGTGTGGCGCAACCTAGTTTTACGACATGGCGGTGATTGAAGGTTGATGGGGAAGAAAAGTGCCGGGTGAATTCAAAGTGCATGTGCGGAGTTTAATGAAAGCAACTTCAAACGGCACAGATGTGTGTGTGTGTAAGAGAGTGAGAGTGGGAGGAAGAGGAAGAAGTCTAGGACAGTGGGATTCTCTCAGCAAAGAGGCTCTCACTAGAAACTCTACCTGGTTACTAGGCAACAGCATAGCACTGCTGCACATTGGAGCGCTGGGAAGGGGAGGTGTCTATCTACAACATGTGTGTTTGCGTGTGTGAGTGCTGAGTCAATAGCTGTATTATTTATGAGTATTTTATAGGAAGCGCACGCGTGGCGTGAGATGGACGGAGGGGGTGAATCAAGGGTAAATTAAGGTTGTGTGCGCACGAGGCTCACATGTGCCATAATTGCAATAGTTTGCCGTCATCCTCTGTGGTTAACGGTAAACTAGTACAGGGTAAAAAGTGTCTGACTGTGTTGTTGTGAGGCGGCGGGGAACTGGCTGCCTCCCTTTGAAGTATTGGAGATAAGGTGGAGTGATTCAACACACAGATGGCTGCGTAAAAAGAAAGGAAGGGAAAGGAAAGGGGGGGGGCTTGCTAAGCTGACCCAACATTCATTCTCAGCCACGAATTGCTGCTCATATCTGATTTTCTTTTTGGGTGACTTAGCATCCATTCGAGGGTGTAACCTGCACCAAACTGAACTGGCAGTGAACTCGCAAAGAGAGGTCCAGAGCGGGAGAAGCCGTCACATCTGTTTCATCTGGGTTGGGGGGGAGAGGAGTTTAGCAGTTGTTCATGCTGCACAGTCGAAATAAGGCATCTGACCAAAAACGAGCCATATCAGCAATCTTTTGGTTTGTTTTGGCTGAACTTTTTCAATCTCTGTTGAAAGAATTTGCCTCAGTGAGGTAATTGCAGCTCACTGGAGCTCTGCATTGGACTGAATGGTAACTACTTAAACTAAATGCTTTGCAATCTAGTTAATGTGAATCTCTGCTGTCAGTCTTACTGTGAAGCGCTGGACGGAAAGAGGTGTATGACTGAAATGAAACCCGGTGAACTCCCCTCACTGTAAATGAACAATTGCTCTCCGGAGCAAAGTTGGCATTGTTTGGGTTGAAATCAAAGAGGGTGCACACAAGTAGATGCAGGGTCAACGTGGATGGATTCTTCTTCTTCTGACAGTTCTAGTGATCATTAATTGTGTTGTAAAGAAGAGGCAGTCCTATCAAAAACATGTCTTATTTGCTGTTGTGTGTGTCTGTGTGCATAAGGGGGGCATTTAATGTCCATTAGACCGTAATGAAGGAACAGTGCTCTCTGTGGCTACATGTAGGCTCGCTAATAGCCCTCTATTATCACAGTTCAAACACAAACACCGAAACACACGCGCAGAGGGACGCGTGAGGACGCGCGCACCCGTGCTGTCTTTGTTCGAGTTGAAAGGGCGCTGTGAAGCAGCTGAAGCAGCTGAAGTGCAGGACGCCTGGTATGTGTTAAACAGCCTGTTTTTAGCTGAAGTGTCTCTATCGTGGTGCTGTTACATACTTGTCTGGAGAGGACTCAGCCACACGTCTCAGAACAAAACACGGAACACTGTTACACTGAATATAAATCCAGCAATTAGCTGGAGCCTCATAATGCTGCTTCAGTGCAAACATGAAAACATGAGGACACTTTGATACAAAAGGATTGGAATCTTTCTGAGCTTTTGTGCTTGGTGATTTTCTTTGTGATACGAAGATATAATATCCGTTGTATACCACTGTGTGGTTTATGTAACACTTAAAGATATGCCCTGAACTATGTAAAAGCTAAAGGTTGTAAGAGAAATTTAGTGAGAGATTAGATTCGGTATTCCCGTAAAATATTTGAACACCTGTCATTTTTTTGTAATTTGCTTTCTTGTATTTTTTTTTAAAGTGTTCTTTAGTTATAATACTCTAGGATTTCTGAAGATCTTTCAAAGTGTTTTCTTTGGACATTGGCTGTAATTCCCAGTGTTAATACCTGGATTGAAAAACACACAATCAGTCATGGATTGGCCTCCCCAGAGCCCAGACAGTGTGGGATGTGAGGCAATGTGGGATCATCTCGACAGAGAATGAAACAAAAAGTGAGCCGACAGGCAAAGAAGAGCTTTGAATGTCCTTCAAGCCCGGAGAACTATTTCTGAAGACTACTTAAATAAATGACAAGAAAGCTGCCTAAGAGAGTTCCGGCTGTGTTGAAGAATAAAGGCGCTCATACCAAATATCGACTTTCTAGCTTGTTAGAATTGTACAAACTGTACACTGCACCTATTTCCCATTTCCCCACAAAAATATATAGAAATTACTTTTGCACAGTACTGTATTTCCACACACTGATATATCTGAACATAGTCTCACTGCAGATGACTGTAAATGCATTTCTTACACTTCATGACAGATACTGTTGTGCAGAAGAAAAATGTAATAAAGGAAGGAAGTCTAGAAATAAAACTTATCCAGGAATCTGCACAACACATCGCTCAAGTGAAACTTTGGAACACCTGGTTAGATTTCATTTACAAATGGTTCTAAAATACCATTTTTTCTTTTTTGGCCTCCATATCTTTAGATTATAAATACTCCAGCTAATGCAGCAGTGGGATCACCTTTGCATTCACTGCTGTCTCTCTGTCCTCTGATGTACGACGCAGACCAGAGGTCTCCAACACAAATCTTGGTTGCGTCTTTGACTGCAGAAACATGACTGGAAACCTAATGGAAATCAGGCTGTTTACACAAAGTATGACTCTTTTGTGTGACACACCTGTGATCCACACATAAAACTTTCTGCAGCAGCAATCAGCCACTTCCCTACTGCGGAGCAACAAAGTTAAGCTCGGTGTACCATTTTATCGACACGTGCACATGACTAAAACCAGGCAGACGATAACACGCTGACATTAAATTCATGCAGTGGAAAGAGAGTGGCAGAGCACATCAAAAAGTGACTCACTCATATACGATTTATTCATTCTTCCCTTTTGCTCACTCACTTAACCACTTAGAGTTAGTGGCCATTAGCATGGAGTTTGCAAGCGTGTTTTTATTACATATTGTCTCCTGAGCTGCTCTTCCTCTGGACGACATATGCGAGCTAATAGAATATGAGCGAGTTGCTTTCTGCATCCATGCTGTTTTCCCAAGTTAAAACTTTCTCACGCTGTGAGGCAGAGTGTAGAGACGCAAGACCTCCGGTGGTAAATGTCTGCAGCTTGCAGACAGCTAATTGTGGAAAAGCATCATCTGGTTCTCACCCACTGTTTAGAGCCACCTCGGACAGACTTTCAGAAACAACGACGTTCAGTTAGTTTAACCTGCAATTAACCCAGCAAGGAGAACAATTCAGTGTTTTACTGTGGAAACTCAACAAATACAAATGCAGTAAAGTAAGGCACCAGTTGGTCCTTTATGGTATGATAGTGTGCGTATGCTGATTGTCAACGTTTAGCGTACCTCTGTGGGTTTTTGTGAATAACACAGCGGTCACAAGCTTCAGCCAACATTTGTTATTTTTGTTTGGTTTTTTTTCATCGTCTTTCTATCTGTTAGGATGCCCAGTGGTGTTTATGTGTGTATGCCATAGTGCACTGCAGGCAAAGGATGCGCTAACATGAGGCTCTGTGACGGGCCTCCCACGCACCGAGCTCTGATCTGGTTTCATCCGGTCGGCGGCTCTGTGACGGCATCACTGTGGAGTTTGAGCAGGCCCTCCTTTTGGCTAGCTGTGCACCAGGAGCAGAGATTTAACAAGATGCTGCGCTAATGAACATATCAGAGAGCGATGGACTGAGGACTGTTTGTGTGGGTATGTGTGACAGAGAGGGAGGAAGAATGCGTGCCCGCTTGTCTCTCAGGTCAACTAAGGGTAGCAATGCTCAAGTCCATACTGGTCTGTTACTCGGAACTACACATCAGTCAAGACCAGTACAAGACGGTTACTTCCCCTTTGCAATAAATGAATCAGTAAATGTACTTTAGAACAGCATATTTCAACATCACATGTGAGCGGGAGGAGTGAGGCCAGGGGTCCAGGGCTGGAGGAGGAGCTGGCCCTTTGGTCGAGGTCTGGGCTGGTGGGCTGCTCTGCTGCTGGTGGTCTGTTCGTCTCCACCCCAGTGTGCAGGGGGCCATCTACTGGGTCTGAGTGAAGGGGGAACATCTCCAGGCGGTGAAAGGACCTGGGAGTTTGAATGGGGAGTGTGAGTGTGCGTACAGCATCCATTTCTATGTCTCTATAATTGGTTGTGTGTGTTGAGTGTTTGTGTACGTGTGCATGAGGGAGGGAATGTATACTTGTGTCTGTGTGGGCCTGTTTGTCTATGTGTCAGGTCAGGTCTTAGACTCCCTCTCTCTTAGAGCATCTCAGACTCCCCCAGGTGAGGGGCCTATTTCCCCCACCACCATCCCTCCCAGTGGCTGGTGTCCCTACCCACTGGTGGTTCTCTATGTCCAGGGCTGTGTGCCTGGGTGCTTACTTGCCCATTCCTGGGCCCCCTGGCTCTGTTGGGCCCCTGCTGGGAAGTTGGGTACCCTTGGGTCTCTAGGCCCAGAGCTCACTTGGGCTTGTCACTGCAGCCACCGGGTGCTTCTGCACTGTGGCTGCCAGGTGACACCCCCCAGGGCTCTTCTCTGCTCTTCTCTAGGTGGGGTTCAAGGTTTTCCCTGCAGTGGTCCTCCTGGGGCTCTCACACCCTGGGGAGCCTCTAGATGTCTGGGGCCTGGATCTCCTTCATGCCGTCTTCAGGTCCTAAGAGGTGGGGCTGTGGCTCCCCACACCCACTATTAGACACTTACATGGAGAAACCTTATAATCACAAGCGCGCTCACACAGGTTTTCACAGACACACTATTTTGGGCTGCTGCTACCTCTGAAATATCTTGTATTATAAGTACTGTGTGCTGTTCAGTAAGATCGTCATTGTTATTCATGCATATGTTGGTTGTTGCCGTGGTTTCTCTGCTGTACTTTTTTTCCTCAACAGGTGTTGACGCAGATTCTGAGTGTTTTTTCTCTCTCTCTTACTCTCTCTCTCTTTCTGTTAACTTTCTCCCCAACTTCACGTTCTTTCTTATTTTTTTCTTTCCATCCCCCATTTTTATCCGTTATGATTGTAATAATCCAAAATAAAAAATCCCATTAAAGTTCTAATAAAAAAAAGCTTTTTGACTTCCTGAAACTTATGATGTTATTTTATATCATGTCAATACATAATAAATACAGCAGTGTGTAAACTGTAAAAAGGTGGGTTGTAAAGCAGCTTGCAGATTCACATCAGCTGTAGGTAGACAAAAACAGTTTAAATAGACCACGATGTATTGTATTTAACAAAGGGTATGCAGCTGATGTGCCTGCATTGCAGTGAAACGTGTCTTAGTGGCCTATCAGACTCCAATAAATGTAAAACTCCATCTTAAACCTAAAAGGAAGAAAAATGTCTTTAGTTTGTAGAAAGACTTCAAAGAAACACACATACAGACACATCTCTATCAAAAGAGTTTGTCCAAACCGCAGCAGTGACACTAAAGGCAGTGAAATCAGAACATTAGAGGAACAAACCATGTCACAAATATAAAAAGATACTATTTGTCATAGTATGTCAGCGGCACAAAGCGAGTTTTGTCTTTCTGCTGTCATCTACAGATCACCACCCTGTCAGATTTTACAGTTTCTGTTAATAGACCAGTCCTTACGCAAAGAATGAGGCTAAAGGTAACTGTCGGCCACCCAGACTCATAGTTGTGCTGTCGGTGAAGCTCTTGAAATAGCAAGGAAACTATGTATCTGTTCACCTATATCATGAACTGCAGTCTACAAAGACCTTAAACTCTTGCTGTAAGTACCATAAATGCCCCTTTGAAACATAGATCTCTTTCAAGATTCAAAATCCTGTATATTACACCGCTTGAAGTTATACAATATCATATCATGGATTTCCTGCTAGCTGTTTATCTGTTGTTAGTTTTATGCTAAATGCTTCTAATACCTTGGAAGCCCCAGCCTCCTGTGTGTGTGTGTGTGTGTGTGTGTGTGTGTGTGTGTGTGTGTGTGTGTGTGTGTGTGTGTGTGTGTGTGTGTGTGTGTCTATATCTGTGTAAATTTTTCCTAACTGAGTTGAACATGATGTTTGTGCGACGTTGCATATTATTTCCTAATTTGGTAACTCACATGGTGAGCTTTGCTGCAAGTCTGTGTGTGTGTGCGCGCGCGTGTGTGTGTGTGTGTGAAAGGGAGAATGTGTGTATATCTTCACAAGCGTCTAGTGTTTTTTCTGAATGATTACTATCAGGTGTAGTGGATTATGTGAATGCGTATTTGTCAGTGCTTTTGAGGGTATTGTTGTTAAGAGTCGCAGTCGTGCTTCCTAAGTTATGGCAGAGAGCGGGAGAGAGAGGTGACCGGTGAGAAAGCATAAAGCCATCTGGGCGAGAGAGAAATTCAGCCCAGTGAGATATCAGCAGGGAGGAGATAAAACACAATATGATGTTATTTTTAAAACAGAGCCAAGTTGGGATTTTTGGGGGTGAGTATAAGATGACCCCCACCTTAAGGATACTTCTGCTTTCGCTCAAGTACTTGAAACTAACCCACCGAGACGACTAAAACAGTTTTAACCTTGGGAGAAGGGATGTGGCATTAAAAGCTCAGCGTGGATAGCTTCTAATTTTACACATATTCTTGCCCACTTATATTTGTGTCTGTAGTGGTTTGAATAGTGAGGAGGAAACTATAATTCAGGGTTTAAACTAGGAGAAAGGAAAGATGCACTGAGCAGATGTGTACCCATACAGATGCTACTCAGGCCAAAATCATGGGGGGATTGTGGTCAGCGTATTTGGTAACAAGATATTTTTAGAGCACAATCACTTTTTGCAACACAACACTATTTACTGATACATTGCTCACACAGGGAAGAAATACATAGTGGTATTAAACATATCCAATTCTTCAGGTAAAGATAAATTTGCTCAAGATAAGTGTTGTTAGAGATGTTAGTTTCCATCAGACAAAAGCTCAAGGTATCCGCACCATGTTGAATAATGAATGCTTCAACTCAAAAGAATGAGTTTAAGAATGAAACAGCCTCAGCTCAAATATTCCAACATAAAGTTTAACTCTTGGTGTTGTTCTAGAGTTACGATTGAGGAATGCTGTCAGCTTGTTTGACAACTCAACATCTTGGATGCTTTGATTTAAAATGTAAAACAATATTGTCTCCCAGTTAATGAATCCTGGTAATTATAGTGATCCTCTGACTTTTCTTCTACTACTACTTTCTTCTGCTTCTTCTTCTGCTCTCTAAATCCTCCTCTATGCATTAGTCAGTCCGGATGAATATATATAAACTGCCCACAATACCAGGGTTGTCAGCATCTAGGTAGCTTTGGAAATGATGACTCCTTACAAATGAATAGTGACATTACGTGTACGTTAGGTATATGTGTATGTTATTCATATTGTGTGTACATTGTTCTTAGCGCAGTGGCACTTTATGATCACAGGTATCTTTAAATTCACTAAACAATGATGCTAAGGGGGTCTCTAACTGATTACTTTTTCTCATACAATGAATATTTAGGCTACGTAGAAGGTGAATATAGTTATGGTGTTTATGAACAGCCATTCTTCGAGTAAGAAATATATGACCAGATTTACTAAATGGGGTAAAATAGCATGAAATGTGATCATAGGTGTGGCTAGTTTTACAGGTCATTTACAAAGTTACGCTGTTTTCTAAACCCAGGTACAGTCAGTTCATTTCAATATTAAGCGCAAAAATTTAATGCATGCTAAATTTTAAGCGGTAAATTGTGTGTTGATAAATCAGCTTCAGTGCTTGATTTAAATATTCTCCTTCCTTGAGAAAGGAACTTGTAAACATACATACGTGACAGGGTTGGTTGCAAAAATTTGAGTTACCACCAGTTATATAGGTATCTTGTAACTGCGCCCTATTTGGAAATACAGACGATACTTTTTTACACCAAAATAGTTTGCGCTGGTGTTAACATGTTAGTAAATCTGGCCTATAGTCAGATTTTGAATCACTGTGATTGAAGATCACCTAAACGCATGTTGAAATCATACATTTAAAAAAATTCAACAACAGAACTCAGTTATGGTTAATAGTGAAAATAAAAGCATTTCCACACAAACACAATGAGAAGAACCAACCTCAGTGATACTAATAAAAAAAAGCCTTCAATTTGCTATGGAGCATAAGGATTAGACTCAGAAGTGATGGAAAAAAGGTGATGAGTCCATATTTACCCTGTGTACAAGCCTGAGGGAGCACTGTTATGATGTGGTGTAGCTTCGTTTGCACAACGTAATGTGCCAAAATGTGCTGGATAAGAGTTTACAGAGTGATCTCACTCTTCCATCATCAATACAAGATCACGGGGAAAAATGAATGGAACTCTGGTGGAAGTAAATACGCTTATGGAAGTAATGCCACAGTGAATGCATGCTTTTTTTCTATCCACAAATTGTCTTGTACTTAATGTGAACATGCTGAATATTATTGCCTCTGAACGTCAACACGTTGTCAGCGTAATCATGTTAACAAGCTGACGATGGGAATTAGCTCAAATACAGCCTGACTGTCATGGTCCTGGGTCGTTGACCCAGCGTTTTGTGTTTTGTGATTATTTCCCTCTGTTCTAGTTATTCTGTGTCCTCCCCCCTTGTGTCCGGTTCGGGTTCTAGATTTCCTGTTTTGTTCTGAAAGTCTGTGTCTGTTGTCATTGTGTTCAGCTTGTGTCCTCCAGTCATCATGTGTATTCAGATCAGCTGTTCTTCCCTCCTGTGTGCGATTACCCGATTACCTTGTGTGTGTGTATATATAGTGGGTGTCGGTCTGTGTTCGTTGTCGGCTCGTCTGTGTTTCTTGGTATCCTGGTCCTTGGTCTGCGTCTCTCTGCTCCGCTCTCCGTTTTGTAAGATTTCAGGTTTGCTCTTTAGTTTCTCCCAGTTTAGGTTTGTCATTACTCATGCTTCATTGCCTGTTTTTGCCACTGCCACCGTGTAAATAAACTTCACTCGTATCATCAGTTTGCTGCATTTTGGGTCCTCCTTTTCCTCCACACCACACGGCTCACTCCGCCAGCCGTGACAGTACGAGCCGACCAACATGGACCCAGCAGCATTCGCACCTACCCAGGAGTTTCGGGAGGAGGTAACCGACACGGTCGCAAGGTTGGTAAACCTGTGGCTCGAGCAGGAGGAAGAAGAGTTCCACCGCGCTGTAGAAGCCAGGCTACAGCAGCTACTCTCTGCACACTCCTGGCTGCTAGACTCGCTTCACCCGCTGGCACGGGACTTCCTCCTTCATGAGCTGCACCTTCGCCCTCCAGCCGCTACCGCTTCCCAACCCAGCCCGGCGGTGAAGATTTTGCCCGGCCCGCCGGAGGTTTTGCCCGGCCCGCCGGAGGTTTCGCCTGGGAGGAAGCGACGATCGCGCCGTCGGCGCGTCGCCCCACAGCCGGAGAGTAGGACTTCGGAACTGCCGGCTGTGGTGAGTGGAAAAGACACTCCGTCTGTTTCGCCAGCTCGAATGACTGTTTATTCCGGGGCTGTGTTTGTTGAGCCAGCTGCCCAGCAGGTAGCTCAGTTAGCCGCCCAGCAGCCACTAGCTCTGTTAGCCACTCAATCGCCACCTCCATTACAGTCACAGCCAGACCTATTAGACACTTGGTTACAATCCATAGCTCAGTCAATAGCTCTGTTGGCAAGAGACTCATCAGCTTTATT